AAACTAGTATAGGTAACTATTAAGGCCCCTGTTATATATCCCCGAACTGAGGTGCGTTGCTCCCTCCGTGGACCGCCTGTCCGATCTTATCGCACTCCTCCTGGACCTTTTCGGAGCAAGGGATAGGGGTAGAGTTTCGGGTTTAAGGCCTCTCGGGTTCAGGGTTAGGGGTCAAGGTTTAGGGCTTATCGAGTTTCGGGTTTAAGGCTTATCGGGTTTAGGGTTTAAGGTTCAAGGTTTAGGGCCCGTCGGGCTTAGGGTTTAGGGCCTATCGGGTTCAGGGTAGGCGGTCTAAGTTTTAAGGCTTAGGGCTTAGGGTTCAAGATTTAGGGTTAGGGTCTCAGTTCAGAGATGTGCTAGTCAGCCCACACAAAGTCAAAGTCAAGGCTTAGGGTTTACATGGGGCTGAGCTGCGGGGGGCAACCTCTACAAGAAGATGTCGAACGAGGGGGGCTTTGTTCCAAGCTTTGTTTCCTGTCCTGCTCTTTCTCCCAGTCAGTTTAAAGAGGGCCCTAAATGCTAAACCCTGCAAAAACCGACCCAAAGCTTGCCCCCTCAACCGTTAACAACAACTCTAAACCGTAAGCCCGAACCCCATATTGCTGGAGCCTTAAACCCTAAAACCTAAGCCCACATTGCAGGAAACCGCCCCAACAAAATCTGAGGAGCAGACCTCCTGCGCCAGCTCGGTATAGAATTCGGCTCCTCTGCAGCAAACAGGCTTATTCGTGGTTTAAGCTTCCGTTCTTAGGGCTGGGAGGGTACATTTAAAACGGAAAAATAGAAGAAGTAACCCAAAGGAATGAACTTGCTGATCCTTCCGAACCCTGTGGCTCAGCTCGGGAAGAAAAGAGGACATAGCAACGCTCACTATTGAGGCTACGACGGTCGCACCGAAATTCAAAATAGTTCGTTAAATCGTTCTACAAGAGGGTGTTACAATGGTTCAGGGTTCAGGGCTGAGGGTTTAAGGAGGAGGCTTTGCTATTAGTGTGAAGGGAGCAACCTCTTCGCTGCGTCCCCAGCCCCACAAGATACGAAAACCAACCCTACACGCCAAAACCTACGTCTTCCCGAAGTTATATTCCGGAACCTGAGTAATAAACCGGGTCCTAGAACCCTAAAATAAAAGGATCCATACACACAAAGCCCCAACAAACACGCGAGGTTTTTAAGTTCAGGTTCCTACATAACCCATAGGCCCCATAGTGGGATTCCCTAATAGGATTCGAAATATGAACCCTAAACCCTAAACCCTAAACCCTAAACCCCTAAACCCTAAACCCTAAACCCTAAGGAACCACTATGGGGCCTATGCGTATGGTGGCTACCCCGGGCCTCGGAATCCCTGCGAGCCCGGTGCCGGAGCCAAGTCAAGTGATGTATGGGGCCTTACGGTTTAGGGTTTAGGGTTTAGGGTTTAGGGTTTAGGGTTCATTTTAAAGGGGTTCCTGAAAAGCGTGACTATAAAAGCTACTATAAGGGCTTCTACAAGGGTTTAGGGTATAGGGGCCTTAGGCTACTATAAGGGCTTCTACAAGGGTTTAGGGTATAGGGGCCTATAACAATTAGAATAGGTTTGGGGGTATATTCTACTATAATTAGATTAAGGAACCCCCAAACCCTATTCTAATTATGAAGGCCTCTACGTTGCTCTGAACTGAATTTGGAGTTCCCCCAGGAGCGAGGAATCCGTATCTGAGGTTTCGGTACGATGTGAGCTTATAAGACGTAAGGTGAACTCTCACTGAGCTCAGCTGGCGTAATGCGGATCTTGTGCAAAGAAGGATCACGAGCAATCACGCAAGATGTTCCAACATCTCGCAGCTTTTGTGGGATGTCATTCGGCGGAACCCTGAGCCGGAACCCATACACCCCTAAAACCTGCAAATCCCGAAACCCTAAGCCCTACCAGCACACCCCAAGTACACTTTACTAGGGCCATATATGATAATGTAGTGGATACTTGGGCTCTACTGCAGGCGTAGTTGGGTGGTGCTGGTAAACCAACCATCGAGGGCCAGGTTTTAGTTGGGCGGCTACCGGGCTCAGGGGTTGTATGCTGCTCAGGCTTGGAGAACAACATGTTGGAATGTTTAGGGTGAAAGAGCTTAGGATTCAGGGCTTGAGCTTTAGGGTTTAGGGGTTGGAATTGCGGATGGAGGGTTTGGCCGTCTTCGAGTTGCGGGTCTTTTTTTGGGGATTCAAGGCTTGCCAGACTGTACCTATAGAGCCTCATACCGTACCACGTTTTTTCGGAAGCCTAGTTTCATGGTTCGGATCTTTTGTATAGAAACGTAGATACCCTAAACTAGGGCTCGGGTAAGAGCCTACGAGTAAAGACCCGTGGCTCAGACACCCCACTTTGTGGGCTTGTGGGATATGTTGATCTTCAGTATCTCGGTTGCCACAAATCTAAGGGGTTTCCCATACATGGTTAAGGGTTTGGGTTTAGGGTTTAGGGTTTAGGGTTTAGGGTTTAGTAAGCCTGCCCTGCCGGGGCTCCTTCTTTCTCAGCCTCTTCAGGAGAGAAAAGGTGCCTCAGAAGCGGCGTGCCCCACTCAGGGTTTAGGGCACATGGCTAGGGTGGACACCCCATTTCCCGGGTTGGATTTCAGGCACGTGGCTTCGGATTTAGTTCAGGCTTTGAAACCCTAAACCGGAAACAGACACCCTCAAATGCCGTAAAACATACAACACGATGGATCCGGGCATTTCTAATCCATACGAGCACACTTTGTGGGGATGGCTCGACCAGATAGCCCCTTCAGACTATTGGGGGTCCCTATCGGTCTACGGCTTGTCGGGTGTAGGGCTTCGTTTCCCCAAGCCCTACACCCCTACCCCTAAACCCTTAAACCCTAAACCAAAAAAAACCAGGGTCCAGGATTTAGGGTAAGATGCTCAAATAGACTACGAGACGCTAGGCTTCCCCGAACTCATTCTCTGGCTCCCCCTGTAGGTCTGCTAAACAGTACGGTAGGTTTAGGGTTTAGGGTTTAGAGTTTAGGGTTTAATAGCCTTATAAAAAAAAAACGCTGTGTAAAAGGGACCCTGATTTAGAGAGCTATCCCTCTCCAGAACGCCCATTGCGTGGAAGTCGAAGAGTCTCCAGACGTCGGAACTCCAAAAGCTCGGTGAATTGACTTCCTTCATCTGAGGTCCGAGGCTCCGGGGTTTAAGGGTTTAGGGCAACAGGTTAGGGTTTAGGGTTTAGGGTTTAGGGTTTAGGGTTTAGGGTTTAGGGTTTAGGGACAGGATCAGCATGGCTGCCCATCCTCGTCTCAGGTGATGGGGTCCCAGGGCACCAGGACCTTGCCAAGGTGAACGGATCCAGCCTTGGTCCTTAAGGACGAAATGAACCCCAACAGGTTCATATACCATATAGGGATTCATAGTATAGGGGTATAGGGCCCCTACTTATACGGGTCATTTGGTCCCCAAGGGTGTAGCCTCCGCCAACGCTTTCCAGCGATTCTGCTCTGATGCTTCGCGGACTTGGCGGCACGTCGTCGAAGTCGCGTCGAATGTAATACGTTTCAGGCCCCGGTCCTTGTTGCCCAAGAGGTGGGAAGCATTGGGATGAGCCGGGAAAGCCTACCCATAGGCCCTAAAGTAGTTCCTTTTTGGGTTCATATATAGAATCCTCTAAGATAACCGCAAAAAGGAACTACTATGGGGCCTATGGGTAGTCGCTAAGTCAGCACGGACGGGACTCCCGCGGCTGAAGCTTCCGCTCTCAGCAAGGGTTGGGGTTTAGGGTTTATAGGGTCTAGGATCTAGGGTTTAGGGTTTAGGCTTACGTCACAAGACATTCTGATGGCAACCCAGTCCGCTGGTTTGGAAGATGACCCGGGCTGACGACCAGAGGGTAAGATCTTGGACTAGCACTTAGAGAGACCCTGAAGAAAAGAGCAGCCCCTGCGCTTGCACCGACTGAAAAGGAAGTGAATAAAGGAAATCTTAGAGAATGTAACGTAATTTGCGCTAAACCCTAAACCCTAGGGCTTCTTCTTCGAGGATTTCCTGAAATAAATATGAAAGGGAACCCCCAGGCATGATTTTTAGACTTTTCAGGTTCAGACTTCTATGTAATGTAGGGTCCTCAATAGTTAGACTAGGGTTTTGGGGGCCCTTAATTTTATCATTGTTTCAAGGACCCCGCCAAAATAATATGGTAATGATTGAGGCCCCTATATTCATGGCGTGGTGGGGTGTGAAAGGCTGTTGACAAGTTGAAGTCGCGGAGCCCAGGGGCTGCGGGTTGAAGTCGTAAAGCTTGAACACAACCCCCTATTGGTAGGTAAAATAACGGCGCAAGACCCATAAAAGGCTAGTCTTCTACATACTTTAGGAGGATCCAAACCCCAAACCCAGAACCCTAAACCCGGAACTGAGGTTCAGGGTTCAATCGGCTCCATTCCCCCTGCAATGCTGGAATTTAGGATCAAGGACCCTAAGCCCTAAACTTTCCAGAGCGCTTGTTGCATGTTCTTCGGGTTCTGCATCTGAAGAGTTTCAGATGGATGTCATGTGTGAATTATGGGGCTTTAGGCTTTGTGAGTTTAAGATAGGGGCCTGAATACTTATCTGGAATAGGGGCTTTGGGGGTACATGCTAGGGGAATCATTAGAACAAGGAGCTCTGGGAAACGGCACGGTTTCGGTTAGGGTTTAGCGTTTAGGGTTTCATACTACTACGAATTCTTCAGGCTTCTATGAACAAGCTGGACTAGGGCTTTGGAAGGGCTTCCATCGCATTGGTATTTTCTGGAACCTTTCGCAGAGATGTCACCACTCAATCAAAGCACTCTTGTAATCTGGATCATTTGAAGTTGCATTTGGTCTTTCGCAGGGGTCAAAAGTGTCCAGCATATGTTCTCGAAACCCTAAACAGCCCGTTCAGGGTTGGGGGTTGGCTTCGGGTTTGGGATTTCGGGGCTTAGGGCTGAGGGATTACAGTCGCACTTCCCCCCTCCCGACAAATAAACGACTTAGGCATTTGCACGGGTACAAAAAGGGCATGCCCACTTGCAGTGCTTACAGTCTCTAGGGCACCACAAGAACTGCCACAAAAGCTCGTGAACTATTCGATGCAGACTTCCACTCTTCCAAAAATATATAAGAATGATCAAGAATGGTTGCCCAACTTCCACAGGAAAACTCCTGCGGTTGGGAAAACTGCTTTCAAGTCACAGAAAGCACTTTCACATGTTGGTACAGAGTTTTTCGAACGAGTTCTGAATGCATCTCGCCAAGAGCTTCAGAAGGTTTGCAAGCCACAGCAACAACTACACAAATCGTTTCCGGGCATGTCTCGGCGAAGCCGGAAACGGGCTGCAAACTCTCAACTCTGAGCCCTACTCCAACTCAAACCTCTCGAGGTGGATCGACAGGTTTGCAGTCATGTGGGTGGTTGTCAAAATTATGGTCCCTTTTGGGGTCCTTATTATAATACGGCTCCTATTATTTAGGGTACCACAAAAGGGACCCTAATTTTGACAACTACCCATGTCTCTCCTTAAGCCCCAAGAAATTGAACCCCAAACTGGCCAAACGGCTAGACCCAGAGCGTCAACGCAAAACCTCAACCCCGAGCTCCCAAGAACTGAACCCTGAAGGTTTAGGGTTTAGGGTTTAGGGTTTAGGTTTAGGGTTTATAGTGTAGGGGCCTTGATAACTAGAATAGGGAGATTGGGATATATTATACTATGATGATACTAAGGAACCCCAAAATAGTATTGGTAGTTGCTCAGGCTCCTACATTAACCCCTAAGAGCCCGGCTTTAGGATGACGATGCGCCGGCCGGTTCCGTCATCCATCTCTCCACTCCAGGAGACAGCCTTCGGAAAGGATCTCAAGTAGTAGCTACATGGAGATTGCTTTACAGAAACTATCATAATAAGATCAACAAGATCTTGGTGACACTCATGAACAAGAAACCTTGGTTTCTGCCATTGTATACGTGCTTGTTGGACCTTTTGGGCTCGTGGATGCTTTCAAAATCTTCCGGCCCTCACCCATAGGCCCCATAGTAGTTCCTTTTTGGGGTGACCTTATAGGATTCTATATATGAACCCCAAAAAGGAACTACGTGCTTTAGGGCCTATGGGTAACCCTCAAGATTCAATGCCTCTTTGAGCACGTTCTTCGCTGCGATGTACTTCGCCCGGTCGGCATCCGGCTTGCGAGTCGTGGCGAGCTCCTGGATGCCATTCGGGAGGGTTGGGGTTCAGGGCTTAGGGGTTTAGGGTTTAGGGCTGTCAGGTTTAGCGGATAGGGGTTTGCAGTTTATTTAGGGTTTGTGCAGGGTTTAGGTTCCGGGCTTACTGCGGGGTTTGGGGCTTACTGCCTCGTTTAAGGGTGTATTTGGGACTTTCCGAAAATAGGGGGTACCTTATTTTGGGGTCCTTATAATCAGGATCCTATTATTTAGGGTACTATATCAGGGTCCCCTATTTTCGGAAACCCCCATTTAGTACGAATTTAGGGGATTGGTGTGTTGGGTCTTGTCCTGTGAAGCCTGTGCAATCGATCCCTTGCACGGCACTCGCCAACGGCGCAAACTGGATGTCCCGTATGCTTGTCAGGTCACGAGTGATGCAGAAAGGCTGGCTCGAAAATGAAGATGTCTGGGAAAGGATGATGAAAATTCAATACTGACTCCCCAAACTGTGAAACCGTGCCTTCCCTACTGCTTGCAGACGTAAAGCTTAAGCCCTAAACCCTGAACCCTAAACCGATTGCGGGACCTTCAAGCGACAATCTGGGACGACTTTGGGATGACACGCGGCAGCGAAGGCAGGAAAAGGACTGGCGACAGAAACCCCAAACTAGATTCCCAGTGCTGTATAAGTCCCTTAAATGATAAGCGTGCTCCTTTTCCCATAATTCAGCCTTGACTAGAGAATCTTGAAAAAAACTCAAGAAGGGCACAACGGTAATAGTGATACCAATGGCGACTTAACAAAAACACGCCAAAATAATCCCTAAACTCCCACACCCTAAACCTTCAATGTCGCCTTAAACCCTTTGGCCCTAAGTCTTAAACGGTTTAGGGTTTTGGGGTTAAGTTCTTGGAGCCTCAACCCCCGAGCCTGGCTTTAAATAGCTCGCCCTAACAGCCAAACCACCTAGCTGTTCCACAAACCCGACGCAAGCCTGAGTTTATGCACGACTTAGTGCATAACACAACCATTGAGAAAAAAAACACTGAGAAAAAAAGATATATATACACACACATACACACATGTATGTATGTATGTATATATATATATACATACATACATACATACATACATACATACATACATACATACATACACACACACATACATAAATATATATATATATATGTCTATTTCTATT